ATAGATAGATAGATAGATAGATAGATAGATAGATAGATAGATAGATAGATATTGCCATAAGTATTCACTCGTCTGCCTTCACACACACATATGAACTTCAGTGACATCCATTTTTTAACCGATAAGGTTTAATATGATATGTTGGCCCACCCTTTGCTGCTGTTCTGAGAAGGTTTTCCATGAGGTTTAGGAGTGTTCACAGGGCATTTGGACTGTTTTTTCAGAAATGCTTTTGTGAGACACTAATGTTGAACGAGATGCTGGCTCACAGTCAAATTCACAATTTCATCCCAAAAGTGTTCTATCGAGTTCGAGTCAGGACTCTGTGTAGGCCGCCAAGTTCTTTAACACCAAACTCTCTAATCCATGGATCTTACTTTGTGCGCTGGTGTTGGAACAGGAAGGGCCCATACCCAAGCTCTTCCTACAGAGTTGTGCACATGAAATTGTCCAACATGTCTTGGTTTCCTAAGCTGGAACCAAACTGCCAAGCCCAACTCCTGAAAAACAGCGCCACATCATTACCCACCTCCCCTCCACCAAACTTTACACTTGGCACAGTGCAGTCAGACAAACTCGTCCGCCGGATCACCAGAAGTAGAAGTGTAATTCATAACTCCAAAGCACACTTCTCCACTGCTCTTGAGTCCAGTGGCACCGCTGTAATGAAGCATTGTGCTTGGTGATGTCAGGCTTGGATGCAGCTGCTTGGAAACCCATTCCACAAAGCTCTCTACACGCTGTTCTTGACATAATCTGAAGGCTACATGAGGTTTAGATGTCTGTAGTGACTGACTCTGCAAGAAGTTGGTGACCTCTGCACACTGTGCTCCTTAGTGTGCTGCTTCTCTCGAATTTTTTTAGTTGACTTTTTTCAGCATTTATTATATAGATGCAGTGAAGAGTGACAGGAAAGTGGAGAGAGAGAGAGACATGAAGACATGCAGGCAAAGGGCCGGATTCAAACCTGGGCTGGCCGCTCTCAGCTATACAGCGTGTGGTCGCCTGCTCATCTCAGGGAGCTAAACCGGCACCCAACTGCTCCGTGATTATACGTTACATACCACTTTGTGGCTGAGTTGCTGTTTGTTCTCAATCACTTCCTCTCTGTTATAATACCAATAACACTTGACTTTGAAACATTTAGCAAAAGAAGTACACAAGTGACAATTTGTGCTATACATATATGTGTGTGTGTGTGTGTGTGTGTGTGTGTGTGCGTGTGCAATTTAATATCTGTTGCACTAAGGCAAACATTGGGTGAATTGACAGAATGAACTCATTTAGATGGAGGTCAGACACTTTGGTGTTTGAAGACTGATATTGTTTTGCTCAAGGATTCTTAAGTGCTCTGGTTGGTTTACAGTACAGGAGCAGTGAGATGTAGATGGCAGTAAGAAAAAAATCCTACCAGCTTTAGTTTTCATACAGTAAGAGGTCTCTTGGAAGAGTGCCAAGAGCAGGTGGGTAGGACAGAGTGGAGGTAGTGAAATACACTGTTGGATCTGAAAAATGTCTAAAACAGGCTCTTGGACAACTTCATTAAACTCCACCAGGTTGAACTTGTGATTCCTCTACTGTAGTGTCCATGCTATTGATATGCCATCCAATGCTTGGTTATACAGCAGTCAGCCAGCAGTACAGCTAGCCTGTGAGGATCACCCCTGTGCTCATGTGTCAGCCTTTATAGCATCACACACATTACTGCTTGATTGTCAGCCCTTTGTTCAAAAGCACATCTGCTTGTGAATGCTTCAGTAAGGCCCTGCCACGGAGCTCTTTCTCTGAGGCTTTGCTGTTAATATCAACATCTACTTACACAGAGCAGTTGGGATTCTCATGGGTGGATTCGACTCTTTGCTATGGCTTTCAAACAAAATCGCTCGATGTGCTGCAGTTCCTGTTAGTGCTGCGCAGAGCCTTATGTTTCCCTTTTCAAGAATAACAATTACCTTTGGGGTTCATCCATAGCAAATTTAAAGAATATTATTTGATTTGTCTGAGCAAAACAGTTATTAGCTGTTACACAATACAGCATCGTCTTCCCTCGTGTGAGTTCCTGATGCTCCAACTCTGTTTATCGCTGTGATCTGTGCTCGGCTGTTGCAGATGCCAAATTCCTATAAACACAACCCAGATATCGGATAACATTGCTTTTTGTACTTGATTGAATGTTAGGACGCTTGTGAAGCTTAAGTATATAGCACAGTTATTAATATTATTGTCAGTACTAAAGTCTCTTTGGCTCTTTCACTCT